CCTCCACTCTGCCGAGCAATACCCCAACCAGTACGAAATCTGTCCCCATCCTCTGTTCCTACAGTATGAGCTGCCCTTGCTCCTTCCGAGTCACCTCTTGAGAATGCTGAACTATATCCACATACAGTTAGCAGTGTCTTGACTCTAGCTAGATTGAGTGCGACTTACAAAGCATCTCTTTGGCTCAGGAATGAGACCTAGTTCTTACAATCCTAAGAAAGGAAAATTCTGAAATATAAATGATCGCTGGCCACTTCTCACTACAGCTTTTTGTCTATTTAATGTGCATGGGTGCTTTATTTGCAAGTATGTCTGTGTACTACATGTTCCTGTTGCCCTCGGAGACCCCAGAAACTGAAGTTACAGTTTAAGCCATTGTGTAGATCCTTGGAATGGATCCTCTGGAAGAGCAGCCAGTTTTGTTTTTTTGTAGTTTGTTTTGGGCAGTTCTGAGGTCTGAACCACTGAGGTCTCAAACAGGCTAGTCAAGCACTCTTTCACTGAGTTATATACCCCAGTCCTGTTCCTTAATTTTAAATTTTGAGACATGGTCTCACTAAGTTACCTGGGCTGGCTGACCCAGAACTCACAATCTCAGTCAAGCCGTGAAATAGCCAAGGTTCCTACATTGCTAGAATCCTAAACTTATGCCACCAAGCCCTTTGCTCATTTACTATTTGACCATTTGACGATACAAATACTGGACCTAAGTAAAGGCAACTTACACTATCAGGTATTAAATACCATTAGCAGGACTCTGTTAATAAGAAGTTTGCAATGGCATCCACAATTGTTGACATGAGACTAAGAGATGGAATTCCCAGGTAAACTATAGTTTGTAGGCATTTGGGCCAAATCATCTCACTGAACTTACCAACTGAGACACACAGCACCCATACCTTCTGCCCTCACACAGCATGCTGAGGTCAAGTCACAGGACACAAACGGGGTAAATCACTATACTAAGCTTCCTAGAGTCTTGGAGAGAGGGCTCAGCAGTTAAAAGTGCTTGCTGCTATTGCAGAGAACAAGGTTTCATTCCCAGTTCCCACAATCATCTGCAGCCCCATTTGCAGGGGATCTGATGTCCTCTCCTGGCCTCAGCTGGCAGCTGCATGCACTTAGTGCATATACATGCATATAGGTCAACATTCAAAACACAATGCAAATAAACTTAAAGAAAGTACTTCTTAAGTCCTAGAGATCTTAAGGAGACTCTGTCCTTAATTTCAGCAGGAAGATGAGCAGGAATAATCAGCAAGTGCCTCACCCGAAGCCTACATGTCCACTTGTGTCTGAGTCAGGATGGCCAACTGTGTGGGGGAGAGCAGTGCAGGATAAAAACAAAATGAGAGCTAGAGATTTGGTTCAGTTGACAGAGTGACTGCCTAGCATGTACACACAGGAAACCCCAGGCTTGAGCCCTCATGCCATATAAACTGGTGTGGTGGTACACAGCTGTAATCCCAGCCTTCTGGACACAGAGGCAGGATGATTCCAAGTTCAAGGTCATCCTCAGCTACAGTGCAAGTTTTGAGACCAGCATGAGGTACGCGAGCTACTAACTCACAATCAAAAATGAACAAAACCCAAACAAACAAGTCCCCACTTCCAACCATGAGTCCCCAAAGTGGCCTTCTTTCCCATCCTACATGGCCAGAGGACAAAGCTCTTACACACTACAAGGTTATTACTGGTGACGTTGGCTGTCTTCTACCGACTTCTTGAATAGAAACCATCAACAAATACAGCTCTGAGAATCAAGGTCTAATGAGTTACATAAGCCAGGGAGCTCCTGGCCTGGCGCCTTCCATTGTTTACAAAACATACCAGTTACAGGAAGCATATTTAAAAACTTTACCAAGTTCTTAGGTTAAGTGGTCATTCTCCAAACTCTGTGTACACTAAAAGCATAATGCTAATAGGCCCAGCTCCACAGGCTTAAGTTTTCTCTGAATCCTAACAATGGCTAAAGCTGAGTCATCACTAAGACCATATTAAAGTTCATTGGTTGAGAACCTACTGTGTGAGTTGAGCTGACTGTGATCACATTCACTTCTCAAACCTGGACTTCCACAATAGCTCTTTCCCATTCGTGTTGAAAGCCCTAGAAAAAAATAATGCACCATTAAGAACACCACTGTTTTCCAAACAGAACAATACACCCCAAACGGACACTGTATGTGTAGAATAATGTATGCAGCCACACACATATGCATGGGTACAACAGCCCACACGGGGCACATCGTATATGTAGAATAATGTATGCAGCCACACACATATGCACGGGTACAACAGCCCACAGGGGGCACATCGTATATGTAGAATAATGTATGCAGCAACATACATATGCATGGGTACAACAGCCCACACGGGGTACATTGTATATGTAGAATAATGTATGAGGCTATGCACATATGCATGGGTACAAGAGCCCACACGGGGCACATTGTATATGTAGAATAATGTATGAGGCTATGCACATATGCATGGGTACAAGAGCCCACACGGGGCACATTGTATATGTAGAATAATGTATGAGGCTATGCACATATGCATGGGTACAAGAGCCCACACGGGGCACATTGTATATGTAGAATAATGTATGAGGCTATGCACATATGCATGGGTACAAGAGCCCACACGGGGCACATTGTATATGTAGAATAATGTATGAGGCTATGCACATATGCATGGGTACAAGAGCCCACACGGGGCACATTGTATGTGTAGAATAATGTATGAGGCTATGCACATATGCATGGGTACAAGAGCTACTCACATTTGTGGCTTCACTTTGTGCAGTTTCAATTCCCTAGTCATCCATGACCCAAAAATATCAAATGGAAAATGCCACAAATAAACAACTTAAAACAGGTTTTAAGCTGTGTCTATTGTGAGTAAGCATGATGGCTTCTTCATGCCAATGCTGCTGTCCTCCCTGGAACATGAACTGCTCTCTGCTCACCTAGACACATCATATACACTACCTGCCTGTTAACCACTCAGTGATCAGACTGCTCCGTCATGGTATCACAGCGCTTGTGTTCAACTCTTACTTTACTGAATAATGACCTCAAGACACAAGAGTACAATTCTAACACGACACAGAGAAGCCATAAAGTGCTCCCTTTAATAGCACAAGACATGCGGCACACGTCTATAATGCCAGCACTTGAGAGCCAGCTAGAACTACATAGAGACCCTGCCTCCCCATCCCCCACCCAAAAAAAGGAGATAGAGGAGGGGAAAGAAAAAGAGCAAGTCGTTATGCTCCTGCCTGTCATTTGGGGCTGCCTAATAATTTTGGCATGAAGAACCCTTTCTTTGCATTGGCACATTTTTAGTTTGCTGCCAAAAATGACTTTCTTCTCCAGCAAATCAGCTACCCATCCTAATGGTAATAAAACCCAGTGTTTTCTGTTCATAGAGATGGCAAATTCACACTTTCCTTTTTTTAGGCAGGCTTACTATGCAACTCTGGCTGGCCTGGAAATCAGAGACCTACCTACCTGCCTCTGCCTCTTGTCTACCGGAATTAAAGATGTAAGTCACCAACACCCAACACAAATTCAACCTTACTGCTTGTTGAGACAGTCTCTCTACAGATCAGGTTGGCCTACCTGCCTCTGCTCCCGAGTGCTGGGATTAAAGGTGTGTGCCACCACCAAGCCCAGATACAAATTCATTTTAAGAAGACATGCTTAAACACCCAGCAATGAACACAAATTGTTGCTGTCAGTCAAACCAGGAGTTGTGCATAAAGTGAGCTTTAAGATTTAAAGGTTCCGTTAGCCGTGGTATGGTGGCGTGTCTATAGTTAGAGAAGCGGAAATGCTAGGGCAGCCTGGTCTACACAGAAAGCCCAAGAGATACAGAGTGCGACACTGCCTCCAAAATAAACACAAACAACAATTCAGTTTTAGCATCAAAGTTGAAGTAACTCTAGGCCAGCCTGGGCCACAGTGAGATATGGTCTAAAACAAGACGGACAAAGAGGCAGCATGAGAAAAGGTTAGACACAAAAGATAAGGGTCCAGCCACTTCAAAGCACTGGATCCTTTAATTAAAAAGGCCCTTACTAGTCGACCTATTAGACGTGAGGCAGTGCTGAAGCTAAAAGTGGGTGCACTCCCTTTGCTAGAAATCAAAATTATTTTCATGGCCAAGGTCCTCTGGCTTAGCTCAAAACCTGAGCAACTGGCTGCCAACAATTGACACACAAAACCATTTTCTTTTTCATTAACGGGCCATCAATTCCTGCATAGGGTGGTCTCGCCTTCACTACACAATCCATTGCTTCTTCTACATTAGTGACTTCAAGTGTGCCTTGGAGGGATGCTACAGAAGTACAAACGTGCAAAGACAGAAGAAAAGAGGTACCATCTAGGACAAAGTTTAAAAAAAAAAAAGCCTAGCAGGCACATGTGAGGAGGGAGTCTGGGAGATGGGACCCATCTTCTGTCAATTTGCTGAGGCAGATGGGCCCTGCTGTGAGAGCTGCCCCCTCCTGGGAAAAAAGCCAGTAGGTTGCCTCCTCTCTCCACTGTTACATATTAAGCCCGGACTGTTTGCGTTCAATCTTGGATACATTCTGTTCAGAGCTTCAGAGTTCTAGGAGCAGGTGCCCTCAGTTAATCAGCCCAGCTCACTCCAGAGTCACTTCCAGCAGGGAAGCAGGCTCCAGGCAGCCAGCCAGCCGCAATTTTTTTCTCTAAATCTGCACCATTCTGATCCCTAAAGACTAGTTTTAAAAGTTTATTTATTTATTTTTTTGTCTAAAATGCTTTCTTCAAACAAGAAGATAACAAATCTAGGACTTCAGTTTAGAAAAACAGACTTAATATAAGAAAAAAGGAGAAACAAAGACCTACAGGCAGACATAAGGTTCAGGTGGGAAATAGAGATGAACAAACTCAAAACGCTTTAAGGGAAGACATTTTCTGAAAGGTGCTCAAGGTTACTTTACCATCCTGCACAAGAAAACCAACATCACATTCATTTCGCAAAACTATTTATTTTTTTCACATCATATTCCAAATATATGTCTTACAGATAAGAGTTAGTTTTGAGTCAGAAAACATCCTAGAGAAGGAAGCCATTTACACACTGGAAAAATGCTAATCAAAAAGCCAACATTCACATACATGTGTCTGCTTCCCGGGAGAAGCGCACCACCCAAAGTGCAAAGACAGAAGCAACTAGCTTTTTTGTCATATGAAAATGTTGACAGTCTTCTGAATTGTTAGCTTACTACACACCGACTTTTAAAACAAAACGAGAGGGTCAGTCACCAGAATGCATTTAGCTTTAGATCAATCTGGCTCTGACCCCAAGCAACTCCAAAAGTCCAGTGAGAAGCTGACTAGAGACTACAGATGCAGGACTGCAGATTACACTGCGCACTGTCTACGACGCAGACATAAGAACCCAAACGGAGTGAGCATACTCAAGTCAGTGCCTATCAACCCCATTGAGGGCTCCATGCCACTGCTCAGTTCCTAAAGGAGCACAGGGACTGGGCTCTGAGAGGGGGCCTTCCTGCAGCTTCGGTCCAGCTCTTTGTCCTGTTCTGCAACTTGTCCTGAGACAACTCAGTTTTACCCACGAGGTAGGATTTCTGTCATTGTCTAAGTGACACTAAAGGAAAGTCATTTTATGAGCAGTATTTTGGCTTTAAGCCACAGGGTTACTCCCCACCCCCGCCAGAGTCAAAAGCAATACCTATTACCCTTACAGCCCAGTAAAGATCTCCTATTTGAAAGCTCCCAACAACTAGTACAGGTGCTGCTGAGTCACCAGAGGAACAGGAGCTATATAATAAGAAACTCATGCACATTAAACTTTATTTAAAGCCTAAAAAAGGCTAAAATACTAATAAAAAGGAGGCTGCGGAATAAACACGTGTGTCCTGTGGTCAGTAAATGCTGGGACACCAGGCAGAAATGGCTTTACTTGAGGTACGGAGCAGGGAAAAATTTGCCTTGTTGACCTAAGTTGGTGGCAGACTTGCTTTTGTTCCCAAATCTAAAAACAAAACAAAACAACAAATTAGAGAGAATGAACCAGAAGTATTCTACAGGGCTAGTGAGATGGTGCCATGAGGAAAGACGTTCTATATAAACATGGAGACTTCAGCTCGATCCCTGGAGCCCAGATAAAGGCGAAAGGGAAGAACCAGCTCCACAGAGTTGCCCTCCACATGGGTGCCATGGTACAATACCCACACATATATCACGCACACAAATACACATTTAAAAAAAAAGTATTCTATAAAAAAATACTGAATAATTATAATGTTACAGAAAACTTCTAAGAGCTATTTAAAGGTGCTATTGATCACTCAATATGATGGCTCACAGTGGAGAGCTTCATTCAGCCTCTACAGGAAGTTTCCTTTAACATCTGGTTACTTCTAGTTCAATTATTCTTTTTGTCTGTCTGTCTGTCTGTCTGTCTGTCTCTATCTATCTATTTTAGATAAGGCCTTACTATATCCATCCATCCATTCATCCATTTTAAATAAGGCCTTACTATATAGCCCTGGCTGGCCTTGGACTCATGGCAAATCTCCTGTGTCAGTCTCCTGAATTCTAGGGCTGCTGAGACTGCCTGCTCAATTCCTAGGAATCACACATTCCTACAGAGTATGCTGCTGTAGCTCATACATGAGGGTACATGTATACAAACACACACACACACACACACTTCTGCATACCTGGGAGTGCTCTTGGAGAGGTTGTACAATCTCTGTGACAGCGAACTTGATAAAGGAGTCTTGACAAGTTGAAATTCAGGAGTGGTCACAGGCCCCAGTAAGCTCACTTCAAGTAAAATTCAGATACGTTTTTAAGAGAAAGGGGGAAAACAAAGTACCTGCCAAGATGGATGTTTACACTGACTACCTTCTGAAGGTTGGAGACTGGACATCTAGCAGTTTCACAGGCCCCTTTAGCCCTTGTTTTGTAACTCATTCCTGAATCTTTTGAACTATGCAAATAACTACTCAATGAATAGCTGATATTTACTTCCTGATTCAGACCATTCTCAAGTATCAAACTTCATACATCTAACATCTGAACACTTGAAATTTACACATGTAAGAAGAAACAAAACACTTTTCTTTCTTTTTTTTTTTTTTTGGTTTTTCGAGACAGGGTTTCTCTGTGGCTTTGGAGCCTGTCCTGGAACTAGCAAAACACTTTTCTTAAAAAGAATCTTTTAATATGTCTATGTGATAGGAATAAAATGATTCTACTCACATAAATGGCATAAGAATCTAATGGGAAGTCAGGGATATGGCTCAGGGGCAAAGGCACTTGCCGCCAATCCTGATGACCTGGCCTTGATCCCTAGACTCACATGGTGAGAGGAGAGAACCAGTTCCCTCAAGTTGTCCTCTGATCCCCACAAAACATACCATGGAATATACTCCCACAAACATAAAAATAAATAAAATGTAATGACAATTTTCAAAAAATAAAATTGAGGGCTGGAGAGATGGCTCAGCGGTTAAGAGCATTGCCTGCTCTTCCAAAGGTCCTGAGTTCAATTCCCAGCAACCACATGGTGGCTCACAACCATCTGTAATGAGGTCTGGTGCCCTCTTCTGGCCTGCACACATACACACAGATAGAATATTGTATACATAATAAATAAATATTTTTAAAAAAATAAAATTGATCAGTAAAACATTCCAACAAACCTAAAACGGGAAATAACCCTTAGGGTATATTCATGGTACTAGGTGTAGTACTGATTTTAGCTGTGAAAAACTGTTGGAATTTTCAAGATAAATATAATGGTGGTGGGTGGCTGATTAGAGGAATTGGGAAAGGGGTCTCATGTAACCCAGAATGGCCCCAAACTCAAAATGTAGCAGAGAATGACTTTGTATCCTCCTGCCTTTACTTTTCAAGTGTTGGGACTTTGAAGGTGCTCATTACTTCACCCAGTCCCGAATATTCCAAAAAGCTGGAGCAAACTCAGGGAAATGGGCATATGGCCAAGGCCCTGAAAAAGCAAGCACAGTGTAGAACTGACCTTTAATGTCTGGTGTCCGTGGTGTTGAGTTTCCATTGCCACGCTGGATGTCAACGTTCTCTTGTTCCACCATCATGAACTGATTCCAGTACTCCAGGGGCAGAGAAAGCAGGCGCTCCACCACCTAACGGGCAGCAAAGGCAAGGCTTACTTCATGTATTCCTTCTTGTTATGTTTCACTCTTCAGGACAGACTGACCTAGAACTTGAAATGTAGACCAGGCTGGCCTCCAGCTTGTGACAATCCTCCTGACACAGCCTGCCAGTGCATGTGCCCAGCATGCAAGGCTTATCTTTTTGCCATCATGCCACGCTAGCGCATTACAAAAGCTTGGATTTTATATACCTCTGTATATGCTTGTGTGTGTGTGTGTGTGCACATGCACTTGCACCCTTACCTTGAGCTGACGTTTGATGTCCTGGAACATTGTCACTGGGTCTGGATTAGGCACAGTATGGGCAACTATTGTAGGGCCAAAGACTTTAGCTAAATTGGCAATATCCATCTTAGTATCTGGACTCTGAGCCACTCTAAACAAACAAACAAACAAACAAACAAAGTTAAAAACGTATTATTCCCTTAAATATAACCAACTTATAACTTTTGTATAAGAACATTCAGTCCACACTTCCCAGGGCCCACATCATCTTCTCTGAACTCCTAAGACAAGTTCCTACTGTGCTGACCTCTGCAGGTGGATCATGAGGAAGGCTAATGTGTCCCTGTTGGCCTGAGGCAGCTCACTGACAGCCTGGTACATGGCGGCTGTGCTGTTGTCTTCATCTGTTATCTCTGTAATGAAAAGAAAGCACTAAGAAGACCAGACTCTTCCCCTTGACAGCAGCTTCCAAGTTATCGACCACAAAGGTTTATCTATACACCGAGTTTCTGAAACTTCTGAGAGGTTCATGACAGCATCAGACTCCAGTTTCATTAACAAGCAGGACACTGGCCAGCAGTTCAATATAAGCCAGAACTTCCTAGAAAAAATCACCACTGCTGTAAGAGAAAGCAGCTGGCAACTTATTTGCTGGGAAGACATGCAACCGCAGTGCTAACCATCAATAAGGAATTCATTCACTCGACATTTAAGGGCCTACTATATACCAGGTGCTATTTTATTTTATTTTTGGTTTTTCAAGACAGGGTTTCTCTGTAGCTTTGGAGCCTGTCCTGGAACTAGCTCTGTAGACCAGGCTGGTCTTGAACTCACAGAGATCCACCTGCCTCTGCCTCCCGAGTGCTGGGATTAAAGGTGTGCCATGGTGAGCGCATGCCACCAGTACCCGGCTACCAGGTGCTATTTTAAATGTGAGGCTAAAGCAAACCAAAAAGGGGCCTTGTTTCATGGAATAAACAGTGTACTGGAAGAGTTGGTCAAAAAAGAAAGAAACAAGCAACAGACCATGTGTCGGGCAGTGATATGTGAGATAAAGAAAAGAAGGCAAGCAGGATGCTGGAAGGCAGGGTTTGTTTAGTTTTTGTAACAGTCTCAGGCAGTCTAGTGTCAAACTCACCATGCAGCCAAAACTGGTCTCAATCCTGCCCCCCTCCCACATGCTGGAATTACTACGTCATCAAACCTGGCTTAGGAAAGGTGTTTGTGAGGAAACTGGAGGAGAGAGGGCGGAATTAAGGTTACAGAGACACCTAAGGAGAAACTGCTGGGGCTAAAACTATAACAAACGTGAAGGACTTGAGGTAGGAATATGCTAAGAAATCCAGGACTCCAGGGTTCAAAAAGAGGAAGGAAAGTATAATGGAAAATGATACTGGAGGCATAACCAGGAGGCAAGTCATAGAGGGTCTTCTTAACCATGTTAAGGATGAGTTCAGTCTAAAACTGATAGGAAAGCTGGGCATGGTGATACACGCCTTTAATCCCAGCACTCAGGAGGCAGAGGCAGGTGTTCTGAGTTTAAGGCCAGCCTGATCTACAGAGTGAGTTCCAGAACAGCCAGGACTACACAGAGAAATCCTGTCTCAAAAAACCAAAGTAATAAGATAAAATAAAATGAAAATAACAGACGAGAAAGAAACAACAATTAACTTAGAGTATAAAGGACCATGCCAGCTCCTGTATAAAGATTACCTGGTAGAGGGCACAGACAGACAGGACAATCTGTTAGCATGTTCTTAGCATATTCCAGGGACAGTTAAGTCCCATGTCTTGTGATAAATATCAAATTTAAGGTGTATTTACAGGCTACCAATAAGATTTGTGGTGGAAAAGGAATTAGATGGTTCTGAGCTCAAAAGGACAACCTAAAACTTGACTGAAAAACAAGGAGCAACAAGAAAACACCTATTAAGTCCTATTTAGTTTAATTCTTCCCCTTATTTTTATGTGCATGGGTGCTTTGCCTACATGTAAGCCTGAGCACTACAATGCACGTCATACCCAAAGAGGCCAAAAGAGGGTGTCAGATTCCCCTGGACTGGAGTTACAGGTGCTAGCGCGTGGATGCTGAGAATCAAACCCAGGTTCTCTACAAGAGCAGCCAGTGCTTAGCCACTGAGTCATCTCTTATACAGTCATTCACCCACCAACTACATGAGCACCAACTACATCCCAGGCACTGTAAACTGTGTGAACAAAGCTCGGCTCTGGAATCACAGTCGGGAGTGAAGATACGCCCTCACCTGCTGCCTCCATAAAGGCTCTGCTTAGCCAAGAGGTCAGAAGGGGCTCTTTGAGGTTTCGGAGGAAGTCTTTCAGGAGGCTACAGATGGCATGGATATCATCCACTTTGCTGAGCAGGGGTACAGTTTTCACTTTGAGGAATTTCTCTTTCAGCTCTTTTACTGTCCGGTCACAACCCGAGATCCTGTATAAGCCTGCCTATTATAAAAGACAACAGTTAGGAACTCCCAAACTACTAACACAAATAGCAAGCTTACCTGTTAGGAGTCCACTCTTACCTCAGTCAGGCCTCGCTGCTCAATCTCATTCACACAGCTGACAATAATCGCAGGGATCATTGGAGAAGTCTGGGACACAAAATCTGCCAACATTCCCTGGAAAAAACGATCTTTATTATTTACACCACGGAGACAAAGAGAGGAAGACCATCTAAAGAGTTGCTATTAAACAAGGAAATTATATCAGTTTTTGAATTCCTATTCTCAAAGTACACTTTAAAATAGTCTTGGGAGCTGTCTTAATCAAGATTTCTATTGCTATTAAGAGACACCACGACTACAGAAACTCTTTTATTTTGGGGGGGGGTGTTTTGAGACAGGGTTTCTCTGTAGATTAGGAGCCTGTCCTAGAACGTGCTCTTGTATATTAGGCTGCCTCAAATTTACAGGTATCTCCCTGCCTCTGCCTCCCGAGTGCTGGGACTAAAGGCCACGACTGCCTGGCTGACCACAGCAACTCTTATAAAAGGAAAACATTTAATTGATGTGGTATCTTACAGGTTCAGAGGTCTAGTCCATTATCATCATTGTGGAAGCATTGCAGTGTGCAGGCGAACATGATGCTGGCTACATCATGATATACAGGCCACAAGAAATGGTCTGTCTCACTGGGCATGACTTGAGCATATATGAGACCTCAAAGTCTGCCTCCAGTGACAGACTTCCTCCAACAAAACCGCATCTACTCCAACAAGGCCACAGCTCCAAAGAGTGTCACTCCCTTTGGGGGGGTATTTTCTTTTAAACCACCACAGGGGCTGAGAGATGGCTCAGCAGCTAAGAGCAACTGGAAGCAACTGTCTTCCAGAGGACCTGAGCTTACTTCCCAGCACTCCTATACCAGGTGGCACACAACCACCTATAACTCTAGCTCCAGGAGAATCTGACATCTCTGGCCTCCAGGGTACCTGAACTCAGGTGCACATACTCCACCCCACACATAGTTTAAATAGTAATAAAATTTTAAAATACTCTCATAGGGATTGTGTGGCTCAGTTAGCAGAGTGCATGCCTAGCTTCGCTGCTTATTGTCTCTTGTCTTTGAGTGAAAGAAGAGGAAGTTCTTAGAGTTGGTGGCATTATTACTTGCCCATGAAAAAGTGTGATTTATATAAATCACATGAAGGTAGGAAAATTAACCAAGACTCTTTGTTTTTGTTTTGAGACAGGATCTCTTGTAGCCAAGGATGGCTTCAAACTTGCTACATACCTTAAAACTCTGGTCCTCCTACTATCACTAGAGTGCTGGGATAACAGGCACGAGCCACCATGTCCAGTGTATAAATTGGTAGGGACCAAACATGGGTCCTCAGCAAGAGCAGCAAATGCTCTTAACCATACTTTAATCTTTTACATAAGTGCAATCATGACTTTGAATGAAGCACACCCCCCAAAAATGCGTACTCTAGCTTTTCTTCTTAAACAGAGCACAGTCAGGAATGTGCTCCTTAACTCGGGGTGCTTTTGGAATGAGCTGACCCCAACGTAAATATGTTTAGACTCCATAAGTAAAATCACCATTTTCCTTTGTTCGGGAAAAACTTGATCCCAATATTTGCCTTACCTACTACATACAGGTAACAAGTCTTTTCCCACTCGCATCTTGGCTTTGCACTCAACGAAATGCAAACCCATTGCATCCAATTATATATCAACATCTAAAGCCAGATATAGAAGGGTCAGCGGTTACTTTATGTGATGATGAAATTTGACTATGTTCTCAAAAACTACTATATGAGAATTATTCGCAGGGAAAACACAGCCTTCTAAAGATGAGAAGATGACGGGTTTGCGTCCAGAATGAGGTCAGACAAGACTTCCAGAGTTAACACGGACAATACACAAACTGTACCTTACCAACAACGGGTTTGACATCGGGCCAGTCTCAAATACTCTTTCTAGTGCTATGGTATTTCATAGTGGGACTGGAGATGTCTGAAGTTTAGAGTCCTCTTGCAGAGGATCCAAGTTCAATTCCCAGTACCCATGTCACATGGCTCATGACTGCCTACAACTCCAGCTAGAGAGGCTTCAGTACTCGAAGACACATACACACATATACATAATAATAAAATAGATCTTTAAAGTAATTTTGCAGTGTATATGTTCTTAATACTAAAATGTTACAGTTTAAAACATATAAACCAGGTGGTGATGGTGCACGCCTTTAATACCAGCACTTAGGAGGCATTAGGTGGATCTCTGTGAGTTCCAGGTCAGCCTCATCTATAAAAAGAGTTCCAGGAAGGCCAGGGATGTTACAAAGAGAAACCCTGTCATAAAAAAAACAAAACAAAAACAATAACAACAAAAAAAAAAAAACCATGCCTTATGGGCTGGAGAGATGGCTCAGTGGTTAAGAGCACCGGTTGTTCTTCCAGAGGTCCTGAGTTCAATTCCCAGCAACCATACGGTGGCTCACAACCATCTGTAATGAATTCTGGCGCCCTCTTCTGGCGTGTGGGCATACGTGCAGACAGAATGTTGTATACATAATAAATAAATGTCACTGGGTACATGTGAAATCTTCTTAGGGGAGGAAAGGAAGGAGCAGGGAGGAGGGGAAAAAAAGAAAAGGGAGAAGAGAAGGAGGGAGGAGGGAGAACAAAAGAGAGGGAAGAGGAATAAAGGAGGAAGAAAAGGGAGAAGAGAAGGAGGGAGGAGAAGGAGGAGGGAGGAAAAAGAAGAGAGGAAAAGGTTATTAAACAAGAGAAATCCAAACAAGATTCTGCCATGGGTCAATATTTTATTACTTATATTCATTTTTCATGGAGGGAAATTTTATTTGATATCAGTAATTTTAAAATAAAAACTGACTATGCCTTTGAAAGACTAAAGAAGAAACAAATGACAGCTGGCTTCAATGAGTCTTACCTCTCCAATCTTAACCGGAGTTCCCACCAGGGGAGAAATGCAGGGAAGGGGACATCGGTCCCGACATTCTGGGTGAGAGACCAAACGACAGTCTCGACACTTCAGAGACAGCTTGCCAAATTTGATCCTCTTTCCACACGGAACACAAGATTCGGGCTTAATAACCTGAAGATAGAACAGGGCAGACACAATAGAATGATATGAATTAACAAAGTTATTGTCAATCACAGGTGTTAAATACACAGTATGTACAAAACAACGTTTTAGGCCATTACACATTTTAATGTAATTCTCACAAAAATTCTCAAAAGTAGGTCATGTTTGCTTCATTTTAAGAATAGCAACTGTCTGCTGGTCATGGCGGCACATGCCTTTAATTCCAGTTCCTAGGGGACAAAGGCAGGCAGATCAGGGCTACAAAAATGAAACCATTGCAAAGACAAAGTTTTAAAAAGGTAATAGTCACCGACTAACACTAACTCAGTTAGGGTGGGTCCTTGTGAGCCCCTCCTCCATCCATGCTGCTGGAGAGGGGAAGAGTCAATTTTCTCTAGAGGTGTGGCCACTGGGAAGCTGCTCACGCTCCAGTGTACGAATCCTCACACCCATGCACACACTGGAAACACTAATTAGACTCCGTAAAAAGAGGACATGAAGTTGAGAGTGGGACTGTTGAGGGTAGTCCAGGGTTTAGGGGAGTGGTAGAGGGGCTGAATATGATCAAAACACATTGTATTCATGTCTAAAATTCTCCAATAAAGAATGTCACACTGTTAAAAGCAGCTAGTAACAAGTGTTGACAAAACATAAACCGAAACTTACATAACACTGACAGGAATATAAAATACACATAAGGGAAAAGTCTGGAGGCCCCTCAGAAAGTTAAGCATAGTTACCGTAGTTGACCCACTAATTCCACTTCTAAGTATGCATATGCAAGAAAAATGAAAATGGTCGGGCTGGAGAGATGGCTCAGCAGCTAAGAGCACTGGCTGCTCTTCCAGAGGTCCTGAGTTCAATTCCCAGCAACCAGGTGGTGGCTCACAACCACCTATAAAGAGATCTAGTGCCCTCTTCTGGCCTACAGGCAGGATACTGTATAAATAAATTAATTAAAAAAAGAAAGAAAAATGAAAATGGTCTACATAAAATGTGTGCACATAGCCTTCTTTCTAGTAGCTGAAAATGGAAAACCCTAAATGTCTATCCACTAATAAACAGATAAATATGTGGCATATGCTTTCGATACAGTGAAACATCATTCATCAAATAAAAAGAAATGAAACACACAGGCTACAGCAATGATGAGCAAATGAAAGAAGCTAGACCCAAAAGTACACAGACCATATGGCCTCAAGTACATGAGACGTCTTAAAACAGGCAAATCCATAGACACGAGTGGTGTGAATAATGGTAGCCTCTGACTACTGGATACTGATGTAGCACAGAATGGTGGGGGAAATTCTATTAGGTATAGATTTGGGTGGTGAAAATGTTCTAAAATTGACAATGGCGACAAACACCCAATTCTATGAATATACTAAATGTCAGTGGACTTAAACAGATGAATGAAGCCAGGCAATGGTGGCTCACACCTGAAACTCCAGCATGAAAGTTGCCAATGGGGCTGGAGAGACAACTAGTGATTAAGAGCATTCATCACTCTTGTAGAGGACACAAGCTAGATCCCCAGCACCCACACTGGGTAGCTCACAATCACCTGTAACTCCAGCTCCAAATGAGCTGATCCCCACATTAAGATCACCAATATCATGCAGGATAACTTTATGGACATAAAATAATATGTAATGTCTTGATTAGGATGTGAGTCACATGAGCTATGGGTTTAGCAAATTCGAAGAAAAGTAGCCTTAAAAATCTGTACATTAGTCAGGTGCTGGTGGCGCAGACCTTTAATCCCAGTTCTCTCAGCAGAGGCAGGCGCAGCTCTCTGAGTTTGAGGCCAGCTTGATCTCTAGAGCTAGTTCCAGGACGGCCAGGGCTACACAGAGAAACCCTATCTTGAAAACAAAGAAATAAACAAGCTCAATACAAAATAGCATCTGCTCCCTCCAAATACAAAGATAAATAGGAGTGGTGGTGAGGTGCTGTAAGCCCAGCACTTGGGCGGTTAAAGCAGGAGGCACAACAGAGCTAGAGGCCAACCTGGGTGGGCTACAAGAATGAGCCCATTTTCAAAAACAAATTAACTGCCTCAAAGAAAATTAAGTCATCCCAGATTTACCGTCTTTGAGACAAAGTCATGTAGGCGTGTGCCTCCAGTATTCTGAGGTGTGCCTGAATTGTCTGTCTCGGTTCTTGGCTCCAGGGGCCTGCTGTTCAGAGCAGAGTCACTGTTCACAGGTTGCAAAGGACCTAGAAAACAATCAAATTTAAACTTTTGTCCTAAAAATTTTCATCCTGTATTTTAATCCCACTTTTGTTTTAATTTTCATATTTTTCCTTTTTAATTTTGCTATTAATATAACTAGTAATAAATAGTGAACACAGTTTCCCAAAAAGCTCCAATTTTCTACTAGTGGTACACCAGACTGACTGCCTAGCCAGAAGTAAAGGACAGCACACACCAGGGCAGCAGCAAGCGGGTAGCCTTGTCTCAAGAGGCTTTTAAGAAACCCATCCTCAATTTCAACCAGTATATTTATTTATATTTAGTTTTGGTAGCCAAGGCTGGCCTCAAACTTATGCTTGATCTTCCTACCTCAGAACTTCATGGTTTACTTTTAGACATGAGACACAGCTGGTTTTTCTTCCTTCCTTTCCTTCTTTATAACTTCTTTTGAGATTTTATTAATTATGTGTATAAGTGCTTGCCTCAGTTGATCTATGCACATGTGTGTAGTGCCCAAGGAGGCCAGAAAGGGATGTCAGATTCCATAGGTCTGGAGTTACAGATGGCTATAAGCCACTATTTGGGTGCTAGCATCCTTCAATGCTAAGTCATCTCACCAGCCCTGTTTTCTGTTTTGTGGTCTCACCACGTATCCACAAACTGATCCTGAACTCACCATGAAGCCTAGACTGTCCTCCAATTTCAATCTATCTATCTCTGCTTCCAAGTGATTAGATAGATTATAGCTGCATGCCTCCACAGCCAGCACTAGTCACAAATCCATCAGACCTGATTTCCCCCGACTCCTGGTCCAAGATGGCAATGTCTCAATCGTAGACACAGCTTCTATGGGTCCACCATCACCTGGAACAGTCACTGTAGTTTTTGCAACTATTGATTCATTTGCCTGAAACAGAAGCCACAATGAAAGATAAACTAACTTTGTTTCTATATAGGCATTTTCCAGTAGCTAAAAATCCCCAAATCCCGAGTTAGGACTTATTCCAGTCCTAAGCCCTTAAGTCAAAATCTTAAACACTGCAGGGGGACAGCAAAATACAATCAAACCTATAGCTGAAAGTTCTCATCTTTTTCTTGTTTGAGACGGGATCTCTCTATGTAGTCCTGGCTGTCTCTGCCTCCAGAGTGCTAAGATTAAAGGCCTGGAACTTGCTGTGTAGACCAGGCTGGCCTCAAACTCACGAGATCCACCTGCTTCTGCCCCCGAGTGCTAGGACTAAAGGTGTGCGCCACCACCACCTGGCTGACACTGATTGCTCCTAATCAAAGCCCATTGACATGGACAAGAGAGGATCTTACTACATAGAAAAACACTCAACTTCTCTCAAAATAACATTGCATCAATACTGACTGTCGTTTTACCTTGCAAAGCCACTAATCCCTGGTACATTTAGGGTCACAGTTCTCTGGCTCTGACTCCTCTTACCTGGTCTACTGTAGAGCCAATGGAACAGGTTTTCTTTACAGGCCCAGGAGGGCCATCAATGAACTGCCGACTGTTGGAGCGCTAGAAGAGGGAGTAAAGACCAAAACTTTAGTTTCAAGTAGAACTGAAGCTCAGAAAACACAACAGTCCTATCAGCAACTACATGCAAGTCCTAAAAACCAGGGCTACAACAAATAGCAATGCGCATTATCATGCCTGTTTGTTAAACAAACACAAAAATGCTCTCAGTGCTATAGAAAAGAGACAAGCTTTGGAGACAACATCAGAAAGAGAGGAACTATAATCCTATCTAAGGACACGAAGTCTTTGGAAACACATCAAATACCCTAAGCATGTCAGCCCAGATAAGATTTCCATATCCCATTATATACACATTGCATCTGAAGCTTATAATAGAGCATAAAAGTCCTGCATAAAAATTCACATGACAACTCAAAAATAATCCAAACATATTCTCTTCTACTATATGGAGATCTAGCCCAGACTCGTGAAATAAAGTAGACTCTTGCCCTGTGTCACTACTTTAAGCAGTATCACTATGGCCCCTGCAGGACTGATGAGATGGCTCAGTGGGTAAAGTTGCTTACTGTGCAAGCCTGACGATCTCAGTTCAATTCTCAGAACCTACAGTGGCTTGGAAAGAACCAATACACATACACTGAGATATGCACGTGCCTGTGCTTTTTCTCCCCCTCTCCTCACACACAATAATAGCAATAAATAAAAATTTTTAATTAGGGACTGGAGAGATGGCTCAGTGGTTAAGAGCACTGACTGTTCTTCCAGAGGACCAGGGTTCAATTCCCAGTACCCACATGGCAGCTCACAGCTGTCTGTTAACTCCAGTTCCAGGGGACCCAACACCTTCACACAGACATACACGCAGGCAAGACATCAATGTACATAAAATAAATTTTTAAAAAAAGGAAAAAAATTTAAATAAAAGAAGTATTGCCCCAGTAGCATTAATCCTTTTGTGTTTTGTGATTGTTTTGAAACAGGATTTCTCTATGTAACCCTAGCTGTCCTGAAACTCTGTAGACCAGGCTGGGCTCTAATTCAGAAATCCACCTGTCCCTACCTCCCAAGTGCTGGGATTAAAAGCATGCCCCACCACAGCTGACCTACATTTTGTGCTTTTTGGTTAACAATGTCTAAAGATGTGCCAGAAATATAGTTTTATATCTAAATTTCCCAAAAGAAAAACTATTACTCTTAGGTTTTTGTTTGGTTGGTTTTTCTTCTAATATTTATTTTTATATTATGAGTAGCCTATGCATATATGTGAACACTACATGTAAGACTGATGCCCAAGGAGGCTATAAGAAGGCACTGGATCCCCTGAAACTGGAGTGGCACACATTTAGGAGTAACCACCTGGAAACACCATCCAGATCCTCTACAAAAGCAGCTAAGTGCTCTTCACTGCAAGCCATCTCTCCAGCCCTGCTTTTGTTTTGTTTGTTTTAAATAGGATATCACAATATAGTTTAACCTGGACTCAAACTTGATAAATAGCCCAGAATGGCCTCAAATTCATGACCTTTCTGACTCAATCTCCTTAGTGTTATTATCACAACTGTGGGACATAATGCCAGGGGGAAAAATTGTTTTTGGAAGACAGTGTTTCTCTGTGTAACCCTCGCTGTCCTGGACTCAGAGATCCGCTTGCCTCTGCCTCCCAAGTGCTGGAATTAAATACATGCACTACCACACCTGGCAAAAACTCTTATTTTATAAACTGTAAAACATCTGAGCCTAATGGCATAAATTTATAATCCCAACAACCACTTAGAAGGCGGAGGCAGGAGTATTTAAGGCTTTACTACACAGTAAGTCAAGGACATCCTGAGAACTTAGTGAATGTGTTACAAGAGTGACAGTGGCTATAGAGAGAGCACTTGCCTAGTGTGCATGGGAGCATGGGTTCAAGCCCCACCCAGGAAGGCAAGGAAAACACAGACATACCCTCTTTTCTCGTCTCTTCATTTTGAAATTCTTCACCAAAGAAGAATCCCAGTCCTGTTGGAAATTAGACCATGTTATTCTTTCTTTGCTTAGGTCGCTCATAAATCCCACACAAATAAATTTACATCAATAAGTCAGACTACCTAACTTAAAACCCCAGGAGAGGGAAATTTGGACGATCTTTGAAGTTTGCTCCAAAGCTCCAGTTAGCAGGCTTCCTTCAAATATTGAAGCCACAGTAACAGAATCAGGAACCAATGCCACAGAGACAGGAAAAGGTCAGAGAACCAACCCCTGTCGTGATATTTCAGGCACCTGGTCCTTTATTCCTGATTATTCTTCTAATTAGTTTTAGAACCTAGAGAATACAAGACACTGTACTGACCACGTCAGATGTGACTCTTGCCCTACGTGACTGCTACTGTCTAACTGGATATTCCATCCAACAGGCCCTAAGAAGCTAGTTTATGTTTTTAACCCTCAATATCACTCTTTCTTGACCCTAAATACAATTTACCTTTGAAGTCTATGCTTTTTACTACAGACTAGTTTCACTTCCATTACTGTAACCACGGCAATCATTTTGGTGTCTACCTGTACTTCCCTTATCCTGGTTACCCCTAAAAACACAGTATCTGAAAGCAGCACATACAATGAACAGCAGCGCAACATGAATTGAATTTCCCCAGTTATGATCAAATAATTCAGCTACTGGTTGATCAGCTCGAATTATAACAGCTATCACAGTAGAGGTTTTCCTAGAAACTCACCTGATGTGCTTGATTATATACCCCAGACCTACTCTATATAATTCTTTATTTCAAAAGGTGGCTTCCCAATATTTATATCCTTAAAATGGACATTTGCTTCTCTGGTTAAACACTGACTATGAGTTTTTACACTTGCTACTTGCTTTGCCATCAAAACCCAAACACTAACAACTTCCTGTGCTTTGGTTTGTTTCCTAGGCTCCAGCCTCCCATGGAAACGATGGACTGCCAGTGGACTGCCAGTCTCCTGAACATTAGAGACCAAATGTCAGTAGGTTTTTGAAACATTACCATTTATTCAGAAATTTCACCAGTTCTGCTACTGACAAAAGCAAGGTAACAAGTTTAGACAGCAACCATTGCTTCATCAAAGAATAATATGATGCAAAGAAATTTAAATTCTATCCTTCTGGCTCTAGCCCAAGGACTTTAGTTTCCTTCTAATACATGAAGGATGGCTAAGCTTCCCTCAAAAAAACAAACTATGCTGGTAATAAAGTACAAATCCATTCACTTCAGGAGCAGCAAATAAACCTTACCTGCATCTACATAGCAAGCTCCAGGGCAGCTACAACTACATAGTGAGATCCAATCTCAAAAATTAAAACACCTTGCCTGGTCAATCTTGCTAACTTTTACCTCTAGCTAGGGTTTTAACAAGTTAAGACACTTCAGATAAATTCAACTTCACAGCAAATCCTGAATTTCACATTCTTCCAGAAAATGAATATTTAAGCCAGTGTCTTATAGCTTGTGTGAGTTTATAATTTAAATTGCCAGTTCGAAATCTGTAACAAATCATCAATGAAAGAATCATAAAGGAGAGGAGCAGGGATGCTCCTACAGGGCAGATTAACAAAAGCAGAAACTCTAGAGATCAAATGTTTATTACCAGTGATTCATCAGTCTTGTCAAAGCTGATATCTGATAAAATGGAACCAGATTCATCAATGGTTGATAGTCTGGATTAAAAACAATAACACAGTGTTAGACAGAGACGCCATAAAACATAAAAGCCACCAGTACCCTGAAAAGTCCCACTGGTCAGGTAACATGAGCGAGTTTACAGACAAGCACAAGCTGAAGCCATAGCTGCAGTGAGCTGCTCTGCACCATTTCCATGGAGCACTGTGAGTGCAGCAGCAAGTGAGTGTCATATGGGGTTTTTCTTGCTGAGTGTATACTACAAAGAAGCAGACTGAGGTTCAATTTGATTCCAATTGAGTCTGAGATTTCCTACAAGTGAAGATTACACAGTACTGGGCTTTTGGTTTGATATTTTTTCTGCGACAAGGCTGTCCCATGAACTTCCGGTAACTGGAGATGACCTTGAACATCTGACTCTCTGCCCCTACTCCCCAAACACTGGGATTACAGATGTGCACATCCATGTCCAGTTTACAAAGCACTGAGAACTGAACCATCCTATACAAGTACTCTACTATCTGAGCTACATTCCCAGCCCCCAGCACTGACTTTTTAAGACATTAAGTCTAAGCTGAATACAGTGGTCCATGAAATAACTGTAGCACTTGAGAGGCACAAGCTAAAGAATTCAAGGCCAGCCTGGGATATGTAAGACTCTACCTCAAAAAACAGGGGCCGGGGGTGAGAGATAGCTCAGCGATTAAGACCTCACACTACCAATATCAGGCGGCTTACAATCTTTTACAGCTCTCATTCCGGGGGACCAACTATTATTATAACTATTCTTTTCTGGTTTTCATGTGCACCCTGCACACATGCTTACCTCATACTCACGCATAATTTTTTAAAACTTTTAAAAAAATAAATAAAGTTCCCATATCTTCTTAATTATACAGATTCCATGTGAGCTGGACATAGGAGCATCATAGCTTTAACCCAGCATTCAGGAGGAAGAGAAAGGTAGATCTCTATGAATTCAAGGGCAGCTCAGTATAAACAATAAATGAAGGCTAGCCAGGGCTATACCCTAAGACCCTATCTTACCAAACAAGATTCCTCATGGACCAACAGCCAACAAAACAAATAACCCTGAGAGTCTAAGTCTTTTCCTACTTATTGTACTGGGAGTATTCCACGCAAAGCCTGGCTGAAACTATTTCAGTGACACTATGGCTCCCAGCAGCTCTCTGGAGAACAAACACTGTGAGCACTGCTGAGCTCCTACTTTCACCTCAGCATTCTCCGCAATGTACAGGATCAGTTATTGATGTGCAATTTAACACCAACATCAAAACTGCACCCTTGGTGAAACAACATCCTAAGGAAAGTTTAAAAAAATAATGAAAGCAAATGGGGGCGGCTATGTGCCCCGCCACCGCCCTACTCCTGAGGCTCTTTTGCTTTGTTCAGCACACATCCCAGAAGCAGTACATTTAAGGTCAGATGACAGGACTTCTGACAGCTGTGCCGCTTGTGATCAGATGACAACAGATGCAGCTCCCCACCTATTGTTCGCAGAGTTGCCACTGGGTGCTTGGCCTCGGTTGAGGAAAGCTAGAGCTGATTTTTGTTCCTCACTTAGCTGAATGCTGCCAGATGTGTCACACATGAGTATATCTCGAATCAGCTGAATCTGTTGTTCCTACAGACCAAAGCAGAGTAAAGCATCATAACTAGTCAGGGAAGAAAGCTTCACTTAAATTTATAGGACAGACAGACGGCATTAAAATACAACATTATGCAAATGGGCCTTCAGGAAGGCATGACAACAATAGATTAATTTACATCAAGCCCAGGCTGTGGCTGGTTTCTGATGAGTAAAATCAGCTCCATATAGAATAGGGGGTCTCTGTTATAAGATTTTTAGATCAAACTGCTAATCAAAAGGACAGTGATATAGAATAAGAGTTCCAAAATAGATTTCTCATAGCAAAAATACTTCAAGTGTTGTTTTTATCAGTACAATTATTGGCCTTTCTTATAGATCAAAGCAGTCACATGTTTTTCTAAATAATGGAACTAAATACATTAAAATAGATACAAAGCTGCAATGCAGGCAATTTAGGCTCACTGAGGCATCTAACAGAGCTAAGATGGCTTAGTCCCCTCAGCTAAAGCTCTCCTTTGCACCAGACCCCTCATGCCACATCAAAAGTATAATGTCGTATGCCAGTCACATTGTTCAACTCACTAACTACGTCTAGCCCTTTATCCTGAGTTAGAGAGCAATGATAAAGCATTAGAGTTGCCTTGCCTGTATCGATGACAGCAGGCCAGTGCCACCAATTCATAAAAGGAGAACAATATTCTAGGCATTTATAATAAACAATATAGGATGGGCATGGTGGCACACAACTCTAAGCCCAGTATTCAGAGCAGAGACAGGAGGATCATCCTTGAGCTTCAGCCCATCAGGAGTTGTACAGTAGAACCCTGTCTCAAAAGATGCCCACCCACCTCTGCAGAATAGCAAATAAATTGTGATTGATAAGGATTCTAGAATTTCATTATTATTCTCCCTCATTTTAATTCTTAAAAAAAAATTTTTTTGGAGTGTTGGAGCCCAGGACCTTGTGCATGTCAGGCAAGCATTTTACCAACTGTACTACATTCTTGGCCATTTTGTTATACCTCTCATTTGAAATATGTCTAGTGAAAAACAGTTTCAAATCTAAAGGAGAAAATAAGTATTAATTTCAAGCTGAAAAAACAGAGGTCACAGCTGCAGTTTCATCTCTAATAACAGGCAATATGTCAAACAATTCAGTTGTTTATGTGGAGGGGAACTGGGTATATTTGATAAAGAGAAACATTATCAAATGATGTCTCCCAAGCCCATCATCAGCCTAACAGTCCAGGCGTACACACCAGCTTTGCACACTCAGCCTCAGCTCGCTGTCTCCGTTTGATCTCTACATCTACTTGATTACGCGCATGCTTCAGCTTAACGTCCAGAGTGCTCCGCCCGGTCTCTGCTTTCAATAACAGATCTTTGAATTTCTCCAGCTCCTGGTTGGTTCTTTGACATTTCTTCCGGAAATCTTCGAAGTCCTTCACAACCTGGATGAATTCAACTGAGAACAGGTAAAAACTTCAATAATCCAAGCAGCAAAACTACAACTGCTCAAACAAACAGGCCTATAGTTAGTTAGCTTCATCCCAAATATAAAGTCTTGCTAGACTATAGTCAAACATATCTGAACATGACCAGGCACAAACCTGTTCTGTCACTTTGGATAAGACCTGAGAGGGAAGCAATGCCTGATCCAATAGGCTGCACAGTCCTGGCTTACCCAGGGCATCTGCTATGGAGTATAACTCATTAGTCAGCTAGCTCTGGATGCCACAAACGCTGAAAGCCCATGAACAGAAAGCAATCAAAGAGGGATACCTTTGGGGCAGCCGTCACACACCAGGACAGTCACATAAAACAAAAACAGCCTCCTTTACAGTCACACATTGCTGAACCAGAGTTACACAGCAAATTCAAGTACAACTGCTACAATACGCTCTAGTAGATGTAGATTAATATTACAGATATCTAAGACCTGTAATTCCATTCAGTAATAATTATACAAATATTGATCAGAAAATAAAGAGCCAATTGCTTTTGCTGTTTAACAATGCCTTGAGGGGAAGTAAATACTCTAGTGTAAAAGCAGAAATGATCACACAAGCTCTTGAAGCAGAAAGGGGACTCTGCTCAAACATCTGCAATGACAGAATCACTCCCCAGCAGCATTCATTTTATCCCCCGCTGCTGGTGAAGACCACTCTACAATACACACAAGTGCCTTCAATTCCTGAGCTAACTTCAACCTATATACAAGCATCATTCTCCACCAGCAACATACTGGAAGATGCCAAGCTGTGGCTACTGCTGGTCAAACCCTGTTTACAGATAAAACTAAGCCACATTCACATAAAGTCAGCAGATTTTTAGGTAGAGAGGGCATTTTTTCCTATACAAATTTAAACCATGTACAGAAATGTACAACATACAAGCAATTTTAAATCTGAATGAACTTCCAACTTGGTATACCAATTCATTCAAAAGAACCCAGTCAGCTGGGTGTGGTGGCATGCATCTTAATCCCAACACTTGGGAGCCAGGGGTCAGTGGATCTCTGAGTTCAAGACCAGCCTGGTCTACAGAGAGAGTTCCAGGACAGTCAGGGAGATGAGGGGAAAGAAAGAAATTGAGTCATAAGGGAACTTATGTTAGTAGCAGACCAATTTTAGAAAGTAGGGCACTATGAAAGTTATCTTAGAGCTGGGCAGTGGTGGCACACACCTTTAATCCCAGAACTCAGGAGGCAGAGTCAGGCAGATCTCTGTAAATTCAAAGCCAGCCTGGTCTACACAGTAAGTTCCAACACCAGCAGAACTTGGGAGGCTGAGGCAGGAAGAACAGAATTTTAGGCAGGTCTGGGCTAGTGAACTGGAGGCGAGCTTGTCTGGAAGCATGAAGAGCAGATCTGCATGAGGTAGCTTTGTGCCTGTAGTCAGGAATCTGAGGTAAGAGGATTGCTGCAACTTCAGTTGTCTGGGCTACAGTATGAGACCTACCCTCTTAAAAAGGGAAAACAAAAAACCAACACACTCATGGAATCAATAAGAAATTGATAATTAATACCAACTATTCTATGGAAAGAGACCCTTGGTAAGCAAGAAAGTGAGCAAACAAGCTAGTTGGGTAAAGTTCACTTAAAAACCACGATGGAGGGGCTGGAGAGATGGCTCAGATGATAAGAGCACTGACTGCTCTTCCGGAGGTCCTGAGTTCAATTCCCAGCAACCACATGGTGGTTCACAACCATCTGTAATGAGATCAGGTACCCTCTTCTGGCCTGCAGGCACACATGGAAGCAATGTTGTATATATAATAAATAAATAAATCTTTAAAAAAAAAATACCACGATGGATGGCTCAGTGGTAAAGAAGGCCTGCGCTCATTTCCAGCACCATGTCAGACAGCTCTCAGCCACCAGTAACTGCAGCTCCAGAAGTCCCTGTGCCCTCTTCTGGCATCCATAGGTACCCACATACACAGGATTTTTTTTTAAGAGTAATATAGCTGGATGGTAGTGGTGCACACCTTTAACCCTAGCACTTAGAAGGCAGAGGCAGGTGAATCTCAGTGAGTTTGAGCCTGGTCTACAGAGTTAGTTCCAGGATAGTCAGGACTGTTACACAGAGAAACCCTGTCTCAAAAAACTAAAAAAATAAAAATGAGTTACATAGAATAAATTTTAATGGTCCTTTGAAACGAGTGCTCAGCACCCTTTGGCCAGCACTGTCTTCTTAGGGAAACTGAAAGAACACCAACTTTCAGATCTCATACATTTCAGTCAGCATCATACAAACCAAACGCTGAAATCTGATTGGTTTCCTTCTTATCTCACCCGTCCTCCCTCCCCATCCTCCAGAGACCAGATCAGAATGACTTACTGCTTTCATTTCCTTCATTGATAATCTCCAACCGGCGCACAAGCTGCTCAAACAGAGTCCACAAATTCACCATTGTAGTATCCATCTTCTGCCAAGAAATCAAATATACATTAAGGAAGCTGCCTTCTCCCCCTTACAGAAAATTCAGTAACAATCTACCAATACCTGGACTCTCCTATTGGTAAGCCACCATTTCAAGATTTTTGTTTATTTGTTTTGTTGTTTTTCAAGATAGGGTTTTTTTGTTTTGTTTTGTTTGGTTTGGTTTTTTCGAGACAGGGTTTCTCTGTGGTTTTGGACCCTGTCCTGGAACTAGCTCTTGTAGACCAGGCTGGTCTCGAACTCACAGAGGTCCGCCTGCCTCTGCCTCCCAAGTGCTAGGATTAAAGGCGTGCACCACCACCGCCCGGCTCAAGATAGGATTTTTTGTGTAACAGCCCTAACTGTCATGGAAGATCCACCTATCTCTGCTTTCCAAGTGCTGGGATTAAAGGTGCGTACCACCACCACCTGGCTCCCATTTCAAGAATCTTAAACCAACAATTTTGTGACCCTAATCTGTATTTTAAAAAAGTTAGTGTTTTTGTTTTGTTTCATTTTTTGCCTCTCCCCCGCCCCTGCTGTTTATTTTCTGAGACGAGGTCTTACTAGTTAGTTACCCAAGCTGGCCTTGAACTCACAATCTTGCTGTCTCAGCATTCCAAGTGCTGGAATTACAAGCATGTGCCAGACCAAAGCTGCAATGTTTAATGCTTACTTATGAACTAGAAAACCATTGGACCACTGACAACATACACCTTTGTTTACTTCTATGCCAATGCCCACTCCTTATAATGATTCTGGTGCTAATTGTTTTCAGTAAGAAGGAGCATATCAGTGGACTATAAATACCACAAACCAATGTGGTTCTTTAAATCTAATTTAACATTTTTTTGCTACTTTATAATCTTTCAGACTTTGAAAACCTATAATGTAACTTGAACTGTTTATTTTGACCTCACTTTTAGCTAATACCCTGTCACAACTGTCTCTTAAAAGGCAGGAATGGTCAGCACATTCCACCAATGGCACAGGTGACATCACACAGAGATTAAGTGGGAAACCGCCAGCTCAGCAGCGTAAGAATTATTTCTGTAGTGTGCGGTTCTCTGCTGGAATGCATGCAGGGACTGTGTAGAGGAAATTTATACTGAGTGCAGGCGAAGGACTATGTTATCCCACCCTGCGCCAGAGACAATGCAGCACCTTCCCAGGGACAAGGGCAAAGCAAAAGCCATTTGTTGTGTGCTCTGTATAGACAATCTCAGGCTTTGTGCTTCCTCCCAGAGACCTGCTAACATAGCATTAAAAACTCAGGCCAGCCTTCTAGGCAGCTCTCTGTTCCCCAAATAGACTTCAACAAGGAATGGATTAGGAAAATAAGTTCTTCTTTAGTCATCAGGAAAGCCATTTACTAAATGTGACAAAAATTATCAAGGGAAGAAAATAGTCACTTTCACCTAAAAATGAAATATTCTTAAAAACACATCAGAAGACCCTCACATTCCTCTCACCCCTGATGCTCTGTCCAGGTAGTTACTCTATGATCTAAATAAAAACTTCAGAACTCTATTTTGAGTTTTTAGTGATTTTGCAAATATTTGTAAGATTGTACTGCAAGCTATGACAGTAAAAAAATAAAAAAAGAACAAGCAAAACCTCACAGAAAAGGAATATATGAGCATAAAAATATTTTCTATTAAACAGTATAGAAATACTCATTTGTAGTCATGAAACAACTGCTATAAAAAAAAATCTATCAATTCCAAGTGTGTCTGCAGTGTAACCTGAAGAGGGCTGGAACATGCTCTTCAATTGGCAACAATGTATCTGGTTCCAAGCAACTAACTGTGGCAAGCTGCTAAGCAACCAGACTAACTGACTTATTATAAACATCTTCCCCCAGAGTAGAACAAAGTAAGAGTGGCATTACGGCCAGCAGGAAGGATGTGGAAGTCATGGAGAGGTCCACACACAGTGCAGCAGAACAGAAGCAGGGAAGAACATTCGGGATTGATTCAAATGATGATCTCTGGCTCCCGGTAAAAACAGTGGCCACTAGTCAGCAACTGTAACACTGAATATTGAGCTCTCCTATCTCAGCATCATAAGTATATCCTGCAACTCAGAACATAAAAACTTCTAAAGGGTTCAGGATTCTGCAGCAATTATGATACTGAAAACGGTGGGTGGGGGGCAGTCTTGTTTTTGAGACCTGGACTGGAAACCCAGAGATCTGCCTCTGAAATTAAAGGTGTGCACCACTACACCAGGCAAAAACTTCATTTTAAGCAGGCGTGGTGCTTTGTGTAGCAAGCTCAGCACTAGAGATAAAAGCACTAGAGTTCCAGGCCAAGGGGGAATACGGCAGGGCTTTGTCTCAAAGCACAACCACCAAAAATGTTATCTTCAATGACAATATGACCTGACCTGACTCCCTCTATGATTTGGTTGTGTCCCTCCAAAATGGATGTTGAAACTGAATTCCCTCTGCAGCAGGACTAGAATGTTAAGGTACTAGTGTCCTCATGCAAGAGGGGCCTGAAGGAAGTAGGTGGCCCTATTGCTCTTCTGCCACAAGGTCACAAAAAGGCGTCATCAAGGATAGAAAGGGCCGGCAGGTGGTGGCGCACGCCTTTAATCCCAGCACTCGGGAGGCAGAGGCAGGCGGATCTCTGTGAGTTCGAGACCAGCCTGGTCTATATGACTGGCTCCAGAACAGGCTCTAAAGCAACAGAGAAACCCTGTCTCGAAAAACCAAAAAAAAAAAAAAAAAAGGAAAGAAAGGAAATCCTTAGCAAGCAATCCCACGGCACTTTCATCTTGGACTTTCTAAACCCTGAGAAATAAACGATTATTCAGGCATAAAGAGATAACTCCATCCATAAAGTGCTTGCTACACCCACATGAGAACCTGAGTCTGGTCCCCGCACCATGTAAAAACCTATGTGCAGGCCACCAAGGTGGCTCAGAGGACAAGGACCCTGCTGTGTAAGCTTAACAACCCCAGTTCAATCCCACAGACAAATATGAAGTTAAACACACACATGCTGTGGTACATGTGCACCCCCCACACACAAGATATAAAAAGAGAAATTCTAAGATGACCAGGTGATGTGCACTTAGAATCTTAGCCCTGGGGAAGCAACAGTACTCAGAGCTCACCCCCAGGTCTCAGTGAGACCCTGTCCAAAAACCAAGACACTGGGCCAGGCGTGAGGACACATACCTTTCATTCTATTAGTCTGAGCACTAGGGAGGGAGAGGCAGAGGCAGGCAGATCTCTGTGAATTCGAGGCCATCCTGGTCTACAGAATGAGTTCCAAGACAGCCATGGCTACACAGCACTGTCTCCAAAATACAAACAAATACAGCTTATGGAAATACAAAGTGCACTGTGTTGTTTGGGGTCTGATGGCTGTTAATTAGGTTCTGAAAGAGTGATTCCCCTTAAGTCATCTAGACTGTCTCCACATGAGGCATCACGAGATTCAGAAACAGACTATTTTTTAAAATAGTGCTACATGATATGTAATATATGCCTTTGCTGTGAATTGAGTACTAAACTTGACGTTTCACATTCTTCCTTCTATGAATCTAATTAACTAAGCTGCCATTTTATAGACAATTTAGACTCAGAACCATGAAGTGACTAAATACTGAGTGCACAATGAAAAGCAGGTGTTGAGTCCAAAGTCTATTTTCTTTCCACCCTAACACACTGAAGTGTCAGAAAAGTATCGACCATATATGCCAAAGATCTTCTCAGACACCTGCGAATCCTGACAGTCACACAAAGCAGACTCATGTGTCTATGTGTGTAAACACAGACATCAGCTAGAATACAGGCCGAAAAAGATGACAAACTTCTGACAGGGTCAAACAAGCTGTTCTCAATGAGGCTCTTAGTTCTGAAGAAAGTTCATTCTTCTCCCCTATAATACAGGTTTGCTTAAGAGAAATAAAATCTGGTTCTAGCAAAATATACTCCTCTTTATATGCTGGGAGTCTTATATCCTAACATCCTGCAGAAGTGACTCTCAGGAATTATTTCTAAGTGACGAAATTATCCCTTTGCATCACTACTAGCTCTCAATACCTCAGTCAATTGTAACTTGGAGCGGTAAGGCCTCCTTGTCCTTCTCAGTGTCGACTGAGAATGATTTTAATTTTCCTGCTGGGCCACACTTCCACCCTCCTGTTTATGCCCTCCCCTTTATTATTTAGCTTCAGGGCTAGGAGACGCACTAATGTGAAGGGACACAACAGTCGTATAGCAGAGCGCAGCTCTCAGCTGTAAAGCAGCTGTCACTTCCCACGGCAGAGGCTACTGCCTTTGAGAATGCGGCAACAGCCCGTGTGTGGAACGAGGAAATCAGTTTATGTAGCACTTTAAACAAAAAGGTGCCCGGAATCTCAGCTGTTATTGATGGGGAGCCCCGAGGTGGAGAGTCACTGAGTTAGAGTCCCGGTCTGTGCATATCCCTAAGGGAGCAATTTGGCAACACCAGGAGAAAAGAGTCTCAGCTTGCTGTTATTGCTTTGAGGCCCCAATTTAATTTCAATCACCCAGCAAAGAGACAGACAGTCCTTCAGAACAACAGACCATTACGGGTTTTTCTGCAGGGTATCCTAGAAAAAGCATCTATACCCATCCTACAAACATTATTAAGAAAACTATATATCAAGTATTTTAGATGCATCAAGAGAATTATATAGTATAAAACAAAGCAATGGCAGATTGCTTGGGTTTTTCTTTTCTTTTCAAAAGTGTTTTGTTGTTGTTGTTGTTTTTCGAGAAAGGGTTTCTCTGTAGCTTTTGGAGCCTGTCCTGGAACTAACTCTTGTAGCCCAGGCTGGCCTCGAACTCACCTGCCTCTGCCTCCAGAGTGCTCGGGATTTTTTTTTTTTTTTTTTTTTTTTTGGTTTTTCGAGACAGGGTTTCTCTGTGGCTTTGGAGCCTGTCCTGGAACTAGCTCTGTAGACCAGGCTGGTCTCAAACTCACAGAGATCCGCCTGTCTCTGCCTCCCAAGTGCTGGGATTAAAGGCGTGCGCTACCACCCGCCCGGCTGGAGTGCTAGGATTAAAGGCGTGCACCTCCACCGCCCAGTTTCAACAAAGTGTTTCAAAAACATTATTATACATACACATTGCTGTTCTAGACATTCCCAAGAAATTAACAATGTAGGGTTCCTGCTGAAAAAGAAAGGCACTCAGGGGGCTGGAGAAATGGCTCAGTGATTAAGAGCACTGCCTGCTCTTCCAAAGGTCCTGAGTTCAATTCCCAGCAACCACATGGTGGCTCACAACCATCTGCAAGGAGATCTGGTGCCCTCTTCTGGCCTGCAGGCACACATTCAAACAGGATACTGACAATACTGTATACATAATAAATAAATAAATCTAAAAAAAAAAAAGAAAGGCACTCCCAAAGACAAGCTCAACATTAGGATGCGTTGATTCAACAGCACTTGAGAAAAATTCATTTCCCTAAATGCCCAGCTTCTGCTCCGTATCAAAGGCTCCATCCAACTGGCAGAAGAGCTTCTACCATGAGACCAGCTGTTCCTGTAAGCAAATCAACTATAGAAAAAGTAAACAATGCCTTGAGCTCAACATGAGTGAAGACTAACTGAGGGAAAGGAAAACTAAATTGTGATGTTTTAAGTTCAGCACACAGGCATTCTGTGTCCTGTTAGATCTTCTGGGTCTTCACGCCTAGAGTCTCACTAATCCCCAAAGCCTTTTCCTAACGATCTCAATCAACTCCGTCATCTGCGACGCTCAGGCCGACATAGAAACAGTCTCACAATGGTAATATACGTTGGGGAATGACACCTTTTAAACAGTGAAACAAGGCCCTCGCCATCCAATCTACACCCTTTGTCCACCATGCACTATCAGAGCTACACTGCAAGGCACACACAATTTCACGTCTTGATTACCAGCACTTTGTTTCAATTAAGCACTAGAGTTGATGGGCACCGGGGCGGTGGCGCACACCTATAATCCCAGCACTCAGGAGGCAGAGGTAGGTGGGTCAGTGTCAGTTCAAGGTCAGCCTGGTCCACAGAGCAGTTCCAGAACAACCAAGTCTATACCAAGAAACCCTGTCTCAAAACAAAACAACAAAATAAATAAATAAAATGAGTTGATGGGCTACTATCTTTTTTCATTCCCTTTGGATTTAGATAATTATAAATAGCTTTTCAATTATCCTCTGCCTGCAGTCTCTAGCATGGCACTGTCCTGTCGTCATACCCCCTACCTCTGCCCCCCCCACACACATACACCCAGGAATCTGCACTTACTTCTCAGTGAAGTCTCTGCTAACTACCCTATTTAAAGTTGGGCTGGAGAGATGGCTCAGTGGTTAAGAGCATTGCCTGCTCTTCCAGAGGTCCTGAGTTCAATTCCCAGCAACCACATGGTGGCTCACAACCATCTGTAATGAGGTCTAGTGCCCTCTTCTGGCCTGCAGGCATACACACAGACAGAAAATTGTATAATAAATAAATAAATATTTAAAATTGCAACTTTTCGGAAATGGCAGCTTTATTTTGCTGCAAAGATTTGTCCCCATCGACTATATTTGCTTACTTTACTGTCTGTTTGCTGCAGAGCCACTGGTGTCTAGAACACTGCCAGATGCTTGACAGTCACTGATGAGTGAACCTCCTCATGACCAGTATTCAGGTCTTTAAGGAGAGAGTCTTTGCAACAGCCTTTAATTAAAGGATCATAGTATAAAAGTCTTAAATGGCTCTTGATAAATATTGCCAAAATGTTTTCCCAAAGGAAAGAAAAGCCAATGTTAAGGATTCTATAAGGCTGACTAGAACTCCTGTATTTGTGGAGAATTAGACAGACCGTCTCAGATCCGGAGCCAAATCATCTCAGGTGATCTTTAGCTCCACTAAAGATCCAGTCACCTTCTTGTGACATCAGATGAAATTTCGGCATGAGTGACAAGTCTACTACCTTTGAACCGGACGTGGTGGTGGTGGCCTATGTCTTTAATCCCAGCACTCAGGAAGCAGCAGAGGCAGGCAGATCTGAGTTCAAAGCCAGCCTGGCCTATAAATAGTTTCAGGACAGCCTGGGCTACACAGAAGAAAAAAAAAAGTCTACCACCTTTCACCAACCCGAAAGCTGAGATCATCATCACTCAGCAGACTGAAACCTAATACTGCAGATTCCCTTTCTGTACAGCAACCCACAGCTTGACGCGCACACCAGCTTCATCAATCAACACATTTTTTTGTTCAAGACTTAAGTAGAAGACGATCTTACTTGAACTTAAGGAAGTGTGTCAGTTAGCTGACACCATGCCTGCCTAGTATGCACGAGCCGCAGCACAGCAAATGAGGGACCACACTAGAGACCTCCCAATTATCCTGTAATGCCCGTTAGTTATCCCAGCACTCCAGAGGTAGGAGGATCAGAAGTGCGAAGGTATCCTTGGCCACAAAAGGCCAGCCTGGGCTACAGAGGACACCGTCACACATACTCACACAGAGTACAGTTAACTTAGGTGTGATAGAACTTTAGAAGATAAATGGTGACTCCACTAACGCTCCTACACACGACTGGGATGCTACCGGATAACAGCCTTAACTTTTCTCTCGGTGGAGCTGTGACTAAGCTGTTATCCGGCAGCGTCAGAAACGTGCTTCAGGGCGGTAGGTCAGTGAGAGCGGGGCAATGAATTCTTATTAAAGGGGGACCTAAAGATAACCGGAGACCGTCAAGGTTCAGAATTTGCAACGTTCCAATTCTTCACAACTAGGGGTGCTCTAATTAATCTCGTGGGAGACAACTCTGGGCCGCCTAGACCTCTCAAACACCAGTGCTTTCCCCCTCGGAAAAACCTATTCCTCCGAAGGGGGTCACAGGGAGCTCCGTCCCAGCCACTCCCAGGCCAGGCTAGAAGCGAAGACCACCTCAGGGGAACCACACCCACACCCCTCCGGCCACGCCTCAAAAGGACGCCCCTGACTTGGCCCAAAACGCAACGCCCAGAGCAGCCCCTCTCCCGGCCGCCCGCTCGTGGCCTCGGACCGGCTTACCGAGGCTCCCGGTCTCGCGCACCCGCAAGCCCGACCGGCCCGAGGTACTCACTCTCCGGCCGCCGCGCCCCAGGAGGGCTGCCGTCCGCTCGCGGCACGCCTCAATAACGGCAGTGTGGAACCGCGCCGCCAGATCCGGTTCAAAATCGCGGACCAGCCAATCAGAGAACATCGTCCTCACGACAACGCATGCGTCAGGGCTAGGGGGCGGGAGCAAAAAAAAATTGGAGATGAGCATGCGCATTACGTTAGGGAGTCGCCGAAAAGGGCCATTTTGGCTAAGGGCACAGTTAGGGTGGGGGCATTGTGGGGTGTTTTGCGGGGGTAGAGGGTGTTTTGTGGTCCGTGTAGGTTCCCCGCCCCCGACTCCGGCTCCCTTTCCTGCAATTATTCTAATGACCTGTTGACTAATTGCATATTATTCTTGCTTCCTTGTTTCCCCGGGGCAGGCTAATAGGGCTCTTAGAAACTAATAACTGAATAGTTTCAGATCTCACTGTAGAATAGGAAGAATTCCAGAAGGAGACAGAGTAGCAATCATTTTAACCATATTTTCTGAGCTATAATTATCCCTTCATTCATTCACGCATTCATTCAGACTTTTATTTGATGCACAGTAAGTATGCCAACTTCATAGCTAGCACTCTGCTGGAATCAGAGAAATACAGATCATGTGGTCTCAGCTTTCCAGTAGCCATGAATGAGGAAGACCGCTCTAAGAAACAAACAGAAATACAAAATGAAGTGTTCTAATCCCGTTTAATAAATGCACTTAAAATCTGGCGTTATGCTGGTACAAAGCTTTAGAACTTTCAAAGGTTCGAACCCAACATCAGAAAGGCCCTTTACCCTACAACTGAGTACCAGCAAACTCTTCATCTTTAACCTGTTAAGGTACTCTCAATCGTTGTATTCTTTTGTTATTTATCTGTCTTGGAATTCCTTCACTGGATACCAGCAGCCTGACAAAGTACTGGTTAGATAGAGCATACTAGAAACAGTGAGCCTGTACTGTGGTGGTGCATGCCTTCAATCCCAGTAGATAGAGCATACTAGAAACAGGGAGCCAGGTACTGTGGTGGTGCACGCCTTCAATCCCAGCACTCAGGAGGCAGAGTCTGAAGGAGCTCTGTAAATTCAAGGTCAGCCTGGCCTACTGGGCTGACTACTGTAACCAGTCTGGTCCTCTTCAGTAGTCCAACCACCAAGAAAGCTGTACCCCTCCTTGAGCTCTTTCCAATGGTGACATTAAAAAAGGGCAATTCTGTGTGGGCATGGTGGCACACACCCATAATTCCAACACTTGAAAAATGAGAGATAAAGACCAGCCTTGGCTACTTAGTGAGCTCCAGGCCAGCCTAAAACAACCACAGCAGATCTAACCATGGCTCTTCCTTGTGTCAAACCATTAATAACTTCATTTCACCTCTCCTTCCTATTAAAGACCAAAGTCCCGAACAGGGCTTGCCTAACCCGGGCTTCCGGGCTCCAGCCGCCCTTCCTAGCCCCTCCTATTCACGGGTCTCTGAGTTCACCAAGCACTAGCAAACTAGCGAAGTAAAGCTCTAGCATTCGGAACTTTGCTCTTGCTGTCCATCTGCCTCAGCACTCTTTCTGTGCCGTCCTTCATCTAAGTTCCGTCTTCTCTGGACAGCTTGACTTTAACTGCTTTCTTCAGATACATCTATGTTTTTACTCTAAGCACTGCTGCCCGCCCCGCATGAGTCACCACATCTGTGTGTGGTTACCTCTGTTCGGCCTTCCGCATGCTAACTGTGCTTTGCCTCGGTCGTCTATAAGCAGAAATAATGTCTGTCTCATTGGGTCATTCAGAGGAATAACTCAGATGTCTGTGTAACATTCAGCACGCATCCTGGGACTAAGTAAATGCTCAGTAAGAGCCCCTTGCCTTGCTTGATGGGCCGTCAGCTTCAGGAGGACAGCAGTAGAATGCCTTTGATTTACCACTACATTTCCCGTTGTAGGTAGCCCCAAGAAACATTCATTTACGTGCAGGTGAGTTGAGCTCAACCAAGATGGTGACAGTATTCCACTCCATCACCCAATCTACAAGCTGCAAATGATGCCTGGGAAGCAGCTCACCTCCACCCCGAAGTAAGCACCATTCTACTCAACCCCCTTTGTCTGCTGCACCAGCCTGGTGAGGAGAAAAAATGCTGTGTGTGTGTGTGTGCAGGTATGGTGCCAAGGGACGGGGTGTTAAAATCCTCTCACCCCACTTAGTTTTCTGCATAGTGAACATGCTGGGCGCACTTGAACCTGAAAACAAAAAGGCTCCAGGTCTATGGATTTCGATCCTGACTCTGCCGCTTATTGAAGGCTCAGGCTTTTTAATCTGGTTCTTCCATCTCTGGCCTTTTGGAAACTAGATGGCAGTGTCAGGATGTGGGTGGAGAGTGGTTAAGTCTGTGAAAGAGCTTCCCTGGAGGAAAAGAACCTTCATTGGGCAAGTCCTTCCGGTTGGAGCTGGAGACCGAGGACCCTTGCCCGGCAGCCCCATCCTGCCTTGCCCGAACCCCTCCAGGCCAGGAGCCCGAGGTCAGAACAGAGGTGCTGTCACTGGAGTCGCTGGTCTGTGAGCATTTTGTCTGTTCACATCGGCCGCCAAATCTGGCTTGTGCCTTTCAGTTCCTTCTCCTTTGTTCCTGGTGTCTTTTCAGACTCCTCCTCCAGTTCTCCGAAAACGTAAATTGAGCATCTATTCGAGGATCTCTCTCTCTCTCTCTCTCTCACACACACACACACACACACACACACACACTGCCTGGAGAAGGCTATTCGTGATGCACTTATAGAGGCAGCATGGGCAGAGGCCTGGTCTCAGACAGCCTCTGAGTAATCCAGAAACCCAGAAGTAGAGTTTCCCAAATTCCACCACAGCCATCCTCAGACAAGAAAGAACTAACTAAGAAGCATGGCTTGGTAACCTTTAATCCCAACACTCAGAAGACAGCTTGGTACTGTTTTGGACAAGTGAGCTGAAGGCAGATGTGCTGAGGGTGAAGTCCAAAAAAATGAACAGCACCCAACCCAAAGCATGGAATGTGAAGCAGACAGACAGGTCAAGAAAAAATGGAGAATCCAGGCAGTGTGACTGGAATGCAAGGCCCCTCGAAGTTTGGGGACAAGACTGTATACGATTCTCACAAAGGATGTGAGAGACCTTAATACCAGTTCAAACTAGCTAGATGTAGTTCCTGGGACTCTGTTTCTTCACTTGCCTGAGCATTAAATGGGTGTAATGGTAGTATTAAATGGTAATGGTAATGGCTGTCTGGGGGATTAAATCAAACTGTTTACAAAACTCAGCTCAGAACTAGGCGCACACTGTGCTCCAAGAATATTAGCTGATTTTGTTTGTTTCTTGTCTGTTGTTGTTTTTGACAGTTTCATGTAGCCCAGGTTGGCCTTGAACTCACAGGCAGCCAAGAATGATTTTGAACCCCCTATCTTAGGCCTTGCTGGGCACTGACCCTAGGGGCCTCTTGCTAAGAAACATTCTACCAAATGAACTACAGTCTCAGTCCAGCTATTTTTATGACTTTTATCCCTCTCTTCCTTCAATTAGACCTCAGAAACCCAGAAGTAGAGTTTCCCAAATCCACCACAGCCATCCTCAGACAAAAAAGAACTAAGAAGCATGGCTTGGTACCCTTTAATCCCAGCACTCAGAAAGCAGAGACAGGCAGATCTCTGTGAGTTCAAGACCAGCCTGGTCTACAGAGTGAGTTCCAGGACAGCCAGGGCTACATAACGAAGAAACCATGGGGTCAGGGGTGTTGAGAGAAGAGAAAAGAAGGAAGGAAGGACAGAAAGCTGTGTAACAAGACAGGGTAGCCTTTCTCAAAGTGGACAACATACTTGCTTGGCAGTAGGAAGCAGCAGCATAAAGCCGGAAGGTCTCCACTACACTCCCTCTTCTGCTGACCCTGTAGGTTCTGATCCAACTCAGCCATTTCCACCAAAGGTTGCTTCTGGAAGGGCTGGGGAACTTCACGAGAGAATTTGGTGTGTATATGTGTATACACACCCACACTACAGATTTAAGGCCCCATTCCGCCAGTAAACTAATAGGACACAGAAAACATTCCAGCCCAACCTAAAGATTCATGAAGAGATGGACAGGGCTCTTCACTGTGCTGGGAGAGACCGATGTGCGTGTGTGCACACACGCTCAGGATAAATTTTTGCAGAACAAATGAGAAGCCTGGACCTCCAGTCCCCAGTCACCCACCTCCAGCTTCTCCAGCCGGCACATGTGACTGCTGGCTGGCCTCCCTCTGCTCTGGAGGTGTGACCACGCCACATCTATGACCACATCTCATTCACCTGCTCTTCCTGCCTCACATCACCAGTACCCCACTTCTGCCTCTGAGCTACAAATTTCTTCCCACAATCCCATGCATGCACATATGCACCTTGTTTTTCTTGAGACAGAGTTTCTCTGTGTAGCCCTGACTGGCCTGGAATTCATTGGGTAGACCAGGCTGGCCTCGAACTTAAAGAGATCTACCTGTCTCTGCCTCCCAGGTACTAGAATTAAAGGTGTGCGCCACCACACCCAACCCCACTCCCTCTTAGCCCTCTCTATCCCTTATCTGGGCTTCGGATACCATCTCTATTCCCCAAGCTATCGGCTCTTAAGTATATTAGTCCCATTCCCCACTCCACACCTTACCCTTACAGAAGGCCTCAGCAGAGAAGACCAGATGGAGAAACAGTCAATGGAACAACAATACACATATTTGGTCAGGCTACTATGGGCAGCAGAGGACAGTGGGACAGACAGGCAGACAGGTCATCCCTTAAACACATACTCACCTGTAGACATAGACAGACACAGACACACAGATAGGCAGGCGCGCACACACACACACACACACACATGCACGCACGCAGTGCTCGGCAGAGGTCTGTTGTCCTGCAGTGTCCCACCCTGCTTCCATGGGGATACCCTTGGTTTGAGGGACTGGCTTTCCCTAGGTGCTTCCATGTGTCTAGGAGCTTTCAGCACGCTAAAGAGCGGGTCATGACAAGTCTAGGGTCACTGCAGCTACTCCGTTGACAGCCGAGTCCTGCCTGT